GACCCAATATATCGCCACGATGGGAGCAAATGCTCCCAACGCGATACCAGCACCTGCTCCACATGTGGAGTCACCTATGGCACCACCGCCATCGACTCCCTGGGGGCTTACATCTGCCCCCAAAATATTTCGGTCGCCAAGGGTTATCGACTCCCTGGGGGCTTACATCTGCCCCCAAAATATTTCGCTCGCCAAGGGTTATCGACTCCCTGGGGGCTTACATCTGCCCCCAAAATATTTCGCTCGCCAAGGGTTATCGACTCCCTGGGGGCTTACATCTGCCCCCAAAATATTTCGTTCGCCAAGGGTTATCGACTGCCTGGAGGTTTATAGTGCCCCCAAAATATTTTGCTCGCCATGGGTCATCGACTCTCTGGGGGCCTACTTCCGACCCCCCTCGAACGGTTCAGATAACCGAAGAGGACCTTCAGCGTATGATCGCCGAAACTTCAACAATATCAATTTCTACATGCTCCTCTAACGGTTTAGATAACCGACAAAGACCTTCAGCATACGACCGCGAAAGCTTCAACTCGTGTTGTCACTGAAGCAACGACACAACCGTGTGCATTCACCTCAGACCATAGGTCTCGAGCGCCTCATCCTACAGTGGGTGGTTAACCCATCCCAACGTTGGGCATGGAGTATCTTGTTTACCTTTCAACCCCAAGTGGGTTCACATCACATCGCAAGAGACGAGTATAATCTTCCTACTCAAAAAAAATAATAAGCCGAGCCGAGCCGACCGTCCCTCTCCAAGCCGCGCGCGCGCCTCCAATTAGTCTCGAGGCGCGCGCTTCAATTTCTAAAAAAAAAAAGAGAAAAAAAAAAAAAGGAGGAGCGCGTGCGCAGCATGCGCGCGTGACTGCCACGCGCTCATGGGATGGCGCGCGCGCTGCGTCAGAAAAGAAAGAAAAAAAAAAAATATTAATAAAAGAGGGCAGCAGGTGGCGTTTGGCACACACCTGCCAAAGTTGCGCCCATCACATCAATGCCCTTCAATTGTCACTGTGCGTCAGCAATCATCACACCTCGCGCGCCCCCTACACCTCATCAAATCGCGCCCGCTCTTCCCCAAGGCGCCCTTGGACTGCGCGCTCCCGTTAAATCGCGCGGAACTTTCACCTTCATCCACCAAATTGCGCGTAGATTTTGACTCGCTTCACCAAATCGCACGAGAATTTCAACGCGCTCCACCAAATTGCGCGAGCTCTTTAACGCACCTACCAAATTGCGTTCGCTATCAAATGGAAAAAAAAAATTTATTTATCCACGCCATGCCAACGATTAACGCAAGACTACATCACCGATCTACTCTCAATACGATCCGGTACCGCTTTCGACTTGGCTCCCACATCGTCTCGAGAGTGGGGGGGCTTGCGAGACAACTCCCACGAGGAGACAACTCGCTATGAGCGACCTCAATCCGCACGCTCCTTAGTCGCGCGTCATCCAATGCTCCTACAACTTCGCTGCAAAATAACTCCTATGAGGAGACAGCTCGCCCGAAATTCACTATATAATCGCAAGCTCAAGTTAGCACGATTACAATCCTAGAAGCACTTAGAGATATTATGAGAATCTATATAGCCTGGCCAGCTTGATTACTCAAATTTATCTACTTGTTTTCGATGGGTCATTCATTAAAACGTGGCCACGGTCCAAACATACTTAAGACTCACGAGGTCTAACAAGGGGCACGACCCCCATAAAAAAAAATCTTGAGAGTCTGATCCCCTCCTCAAGTACTTCACGCACAAGGCTATATGTAAACACATATAAGCAACGCGTCAAAACATCGACAATGTCGAAAAATAACAACTCCCACGAGGAGAATACTAGCTCTGTGCTACTATATTATCGTGAGACAACTTCCACAAGGACATAACTCGATCAACTCTATTACCCCAGAGACAACTCCCACGAGGAGATTACTTGATCCGTGCTACTACATTATCGCGAGACAACTCCTACGAGGAGATAACTCGATCAACACTATTACCCCGCGACGAGACAACTCCCATGAGGAGATAATTCGCTACTACATCGTCGCGGGACAAAACCGACGACTCAATTAACTTACATCGCGACAACTTGGTCGCGCTATGCGCCAACGCGCATTCACGCCCCTCCGACACACGCTCCAATGCGTTTTCGCACACCATCAGGCCATATGCCAAAGAACGAACACTACATTTTTTACTCTCGACACGATTGAGAACCCATTTCGACATGGCCCCCACACCGACTCGAGAGTGGGGGCTTAATGATATGCCTAATTGGGCCAACCCAATGGGCCTACAATTTATTTACCTACTGGGCCACGAGCCCAATATCGAAGACCATTATCACTGAGGCCCAATCACCTTCAAGTAAGGTTCGGGCCCAACAATCTCAACTAAGCTATAAATAAAGGTTTGAACTCATTCCTTAGGTACGTCCTATTAACTGAGCAATACGATTAACTGTATTCTCTGGACTATTTCCTCTATCAGCACGTCTGACTTGAGCGTCGGAGGGGTTTCCGCCGGATCAACCCCCGGCCTAGTTTACGTGTTCTATGATCGCAGGTACCTCAGGATCATCAAGTTGTCAAGCTACTGATCCGCTTTGCTCTCCCAGTTCATTTTCTACATCACCCTAGGTGAGCTATATTTTAGCATCATCACAATGTTACTTTTATAATAGTGGGAGAAAATAATAATAATTAGAAAAATAATAATTATAAGGATCGCGTTAGGCTTGATTAGTGTACGTCGGAAATAAAGAAAACGAAGCCGTTCTCTTGAGGTAACTAAGAAAATGGAATTTTAGTAGGAAAAAAATAAGAACAAAAAAGATAATTATAAAAATATTACTGTTTATTTCTTTTATATATAAAGATGTTAGATTATAAAATGATATTTCATTATCTAATTATAAATTAATATCATGAATGATTCATGTTTTCTTACGATTGATGTTTTCATTTTATTTAGCTTATTTAGATAATTTTATTTTACAATAGTTTTCAATTGCCTCCCATTTAATATTAGCGTTGACTGTTGGGTTATTTGATTTATTATATACTTAATTATGTAGTCAATTAAAATTGTTCATTCAAATATTTTCATCAAATTTAAATTATTTAAATAAAATATATAATATTATTTTATTCCAACATAAAATTAATAATAATTAATTAGAATTTCTCCAAATCCAACATTAGTATATCTGGACTTCAAACGGTCCAACTTGTAGAGTGACTAAACAAGGCCCAAATAAACTTTTGATCTAGGAAATGCAAGGCTCGGATATTCTTGAATCTCGACTCATGCCCATTTTGTGAAAGGAAAAGTAACTGGAAAATTATAGTTTTCATCCTTTAAATTTGCACCAAATTCACGTTTAGTCTCGTATATTCACAAAAAACTTGTTCATCTGTTTAAATAGATCAGCCAAATGGAGATGGTACGAAGAAAAAAGAAAAGAAAAGAAAAGAGAGACATATATAGAGAAAAAAAGCATGTCTCCTTGCCTCGGAATTTTTAATGTTGGCCCCAGAGTCACACTAGCAACAATGGTCAATGTAGTCCCGCAAGAGATAATCTAGCGATTGGAGCAAGTGAGTTTTTGTTAAATTGTTAACTGACCCAAATTGAATCCACTTGTCAACAGTCGTTAGGTCGAGCTTGTCACATATGGTTTGCCCAGTGCAGTTTACATATCTGGTATGGTTTGCAAACTATTATAAAAGAGCTTAGATTTACCTAATGCACTTATATGATTGGTTGCGAGTTTTTTTATTAAAAAATAATGGTCAATTTATAAATCGCTCAAGTGTCTTTCAAATTAATTAATATTTCATGGTTAAGTATGAATATCGAACACGTTTGAAACAAATATATAACAAGATTAAATATCAATCTTGTGGATTTTTTTGATCGTTTTACTCATTTTTTTTTGGGTTTGTAAAGATTAGGATGTTGGCGTAGAACCTAATATTTCATGTCATCAAATTAAAATTAGGAAGAATTACAATTTTCATCCTTTAAATTTGCACGAATTTCACATTTGGTCCCCATGTTCACAAAAAACACATTGGTCCCTCATGTTTCAATACTTTCACATTTTTTGTCATTATCCATCAATTTTACAGTTAGTTTATCAGTTAAGGCAGTCACGGACACACGCTTGATTCTGTTTTTTTTTTTTGAGTAACACGCTTGATTCTGTTAGTACTAATGAGAATGACTAAAAATGTTGAATAATTGAAACATGAGAGACCAGATATGTTTTTTGTGAACATGGAAGACCAAATACGAAATTAGTGCAAAGTTAAGTAAAAATTCGTGTTTAAAAAGTTATTCGATACCGTTCGGAACATACAAAAGACTAGGAAGTTTTGCAACTATTTGCGGGGAATACTTGTACTCATTTTTGCAAGATGAGCTGTCTTGGGAAGTCATTTTCCTTATCAAATTTAATCTTTTCTCAATTTTACTAGTAACAATTTATAACATGAAATTCTAGTTTTATGCCATTTTTTTTGTAATTATATAGACGATAAGAGAAACAACTTTAAAGATTACCGGTTTTATCCCCTTGTCAACGATCGTTAGATGAAGTTTGTCACACATGGTTAGCTTAATATAGCTTACGTCTCTCGTATGGTTTGTAAACTATTATACGAGATTGTAAATTTACCTATTGCATCTATATGGTTGGCTGCGAATTCTTTTATTAGAAAAAAAAAGTAAACAACTATTTGTAAAGAAATTTCACTAGTGATAATAAATAGTAAAATTTAAAGAGATTTCTTATTTTCAATTAAGAAATCATTCTCATATTATAAATCATGTAAGATGTGGACTAAATTAATAAAGTCTAAGTTGACTTTCCAATGATGTTTGAGGTTTAGCTGCACCTGGCCGCATACTATAACTACCCATCCCTAATTCAACCAACCCAAACGCCGTCAGTTAATTGACGGAATATTAAACTACAAAATGAGTCCGCCGCGCCACCCCCAACAAAGATAGAGAAACACTTCAACATTCTCTCACTAAAAACTCTAGAGAGAGAGAGAGGGAGGGGTTTTGCGCCACCACAAGCGCTTCCGCAATGCCAATCTCCACCACCCTCACTGTAAACCCATCGCCACCGCGCGCTCTCTCTATCCACCACCACCACCACCACCCGAACGCCTTTCTGTTACCGCCGTCTCTCTCCCACACCCCCTATAAAACCACCCTTTCGTCACTCTCCTTAACTCACAACCCTCACCGCCCCTTATTCATCGCCTTCTCCATCAATGCTGCTTCCACTAACAGCGAAATTGACACCAAATTGTCCGGCGACGGCGGAGACGGAGTTGGCGGCGGCAAAATCGGCGGCAGTGGTGGCGGAGGTGGAGGCGGTGACGGCGGAAATGAGGGGAACGACGATAAGAACAAGAGGAGGAACAAAGAAGAAGCTTTAATAGCGTTGGCGGAGGCCGGGAGGAGTCTGGAGAGTCTGCCGAACGATATGAAAGCTGCCATTGTAGACGGCAGAATACCTGGATCGATCGTTTCGAGATATCTCGAGCTCGAAAAATCGGGGTTTATTTCATGGCTTATGAAGTTCGGAGGGTTTAAGGAGAGGTTGTTGGCTGATGATCTTTTCTTGGCTAAACTTGCCATGGAATGCGGCGTTGGAATTTTCACTAAGGTAATTTTCATTTCTTCTGCTAACAATGTTTTTGTTTTCACCTGAAGTAATAACTAGATGTTTTTATGTTTAGAATTTAGAGTTGAAAAAATCTCCGATGTTCATCATGCTGCATTCCCAGAATTGAATCTTATGACAATTAATTATGAGAATTGGAGTCGAGATTATGGTTTAAACGTCGTATCTTCGATATTCAGCCATCGCTAATTTACGTTTTACCCTGTTCAGTGTTCGCCAAACGCCTCTAATATTCCGTTTTTTGAACTGCGCACTTTCTCTAATTTGGTTGATAGATAGTTGGCGTGCCATCGTATTCACATCCCGATTCTAACAGACTCGTAATTATTTTTCCTGAATCTTTATATTTGTAACTCACGATCTACTTGAACCTCTCGATGCATTTGTTGTTCATTCATTTACGTTGTTCTGTATCTTTCGACTTTTTATTTTTGGAGTTTTATTTTTGCTGGCCGATTCATTGTCGTTTGGTTTCTTTACTAGACTGCTGCAGAATATGAGCGTCGAAGGGAGAACTTTTTCAATGAGCTGGAAATTGTTTTTGCTGATGTGGTACGCTAGCTTCTTTTAACTAATTTCGTCTACTTTTCGACCCTTGGTAAGAATAACATAACCCATCGAATCAGACATTTAAATCTTATCCTTAAATGTTCGATTTGTCATGTGCGATCAGGTGATGGCGGTAATAGCAGATTTTATGCTCGTCTACCTTCCGGCGCCTACAGTTTCTCTCCGGGCCCCACTTGGGCTCGATGCTGGACGTCTTGCTAAGTTCTTTTACAATTGTCCGGATAACGCATTTCAGGTGAGATATATCACATAAATCATAAATCTATTTTTTTTAATTCATTATGACCATACAATATGAACTGAGTGGCGAAATCTTTGTTTGATTCTCGTATGCAGGTTGCTTTGTCTGGAACCTCGTTTTCGATGTTGCAGAGGATAGGTGCAATAGTGGTAAGCAAATCTATCTTAATCTTTTCCTCAAAAAAAAAATTGAAGTGTGAGCTTCGCTTTACTCTCATATGACTACGACTTTGTGTCGCAGCGTAATGGAGCGAAGTTGTTTGCTGTCGGCACCACTTCATCACTGGTAATTTTTCATTAGGGTTTTGTTCTATTACTTACATGGTTGCCGATTCTGTGAACTCTATTACTTACGACTCGTTGATATTTAGGTTGGTACTTTAGTAACAAATGCGGTGATAAATGCTCGTAAAGCTGTTGACATTTCTGCTTCGGGTGAGGTTGAGAATGTACCCGTACTATCAACTAGTGTTGCCTATGGTGTCTACATGGCAATATCCAGCAATCTTCGGTATGTAAATTGTTTATATATATATATATATATATATATATATATATATATATATATATATATATATATATATATATATATGTATATATATATATATTTTTTTTTTTTTTTTCTGGCCTTTTCTAATTCTTTCGGCTGACATATTTTCTGAATTTTGCAACAGATATCAGGTGTTGGCTGGTGTAATCGAACAACGGATATTAGAGCCTATGCTACACGAGCACAAGTTATTTTTGAGTGCTATATGCTTTGCAGTGAGAACAGGCAACACGTATTTGGGTTCATTATTGTGAGTTTTCTTACATTCCCACTACATTTCAGTTATTTCTTCTTTGTCCTCATAGTATAACGTTTTGACCCTCGTTCTTTGAATTGATCTGTAGGTGGGTTGACTATGCTCGTTTTATCGGAATCCAAAAGGGTCAAGATGTAGAATAAATAATACGTATTTAATCATCGCTCGTAAGTGAATATGAGCAAATCATTAGCTGACATGTCGTGAGAGTAGTTTACTGGAGATTGTATGCAAGTGATTAGGTTTCCTGGTTATTTATAAGGTATAATTGGCATTTTTGGGATTGATAATGTACAAACCATTATACATTCATCAATATGTTTAAATCTTATTTAGTGGGGTGGATTTTTATTTTCAGAGCAAAAACTCGAATACATAAATAAATTATTCAAAAAAAAAAAAAAAAAAAAAACCCCGAGACTATACCACGGGATTTTGAGGAAGAGGAATAGGGTCAACAACTAACGAGAGTATACGTTTCTTCGATTCAATGTTTCCCGTTCCATGCCCATCTCCATGCTGATACATGCACAGTGAAGCTCTAGCATAATTGATTGAAGTAGTTATAAAATCTCTCGAGTATTCGTTATTTATCAATACGTCGGTGTTTATTTTCTTCCATGTTGACCCGATAAGATTCTTGATGTAGCTTCTAGAATCTTCCTCAGAGCAGCCTGTGTCGAGCATGTAGCATTGAACTGATTTCGGACTATCACCTCTCTTCAACTCATCCTGATACAGGAGAAATTAATTAGCTCAGTTTTTATATCCGAAAAAATCGGTTGTTGTTGTATGAAAATTAAAAAAGGTAAGTGCTTTAATTAATTACTGTGGTAGTTGCCAAGTCATCCGCAAGTCGAAAAACGATTGATGTCCATTTGAGAATTTCAGGGTTCGTCTGTAATTGTCTGAGAGGTTCATCTTTCAAAGGATTTGTCATGCAAAAATAAGCATGGATTATAAAAAAAGGACCCGCGCTCGTAACCCAACCGTTGCTTAGGGACTCGTCTAGGCTTGGTTTGTAGCCGCTGTAGTACCACTGTGCTTCTACCATGTACTTCTTACAAAGTTCTGCCACCTGCATATATCAAGGTATGAAATATATATTCGTTCCATTTTAAGTTATTTTATTTTTATTTTCTTCGTTCGATCCATAGGTTTGTACCCTGTTTGTAGAGTGTGGAATAATATTGAATCCTTGTTCCCTAAGCACGTCGTAAGCCGTTTCGTTAACCGTGTTGAATAGAGCAAGAAAGCATATTTTCATGTACTCTGGAAGTTGCTCCAAAGAATTAATGTCCCACCTAAAATAAAAATAAAACATACAAGATTTTTAGTAATTCTCATCGTTTAATTGTTTACATTAAGAATTGTTGGTCACAAATTACCTCTCGACGACATCTGTGAATTCAGTTCATCGAGAGAGCCATATATATCGTAAACATCATCGACAAACGTTAGCAGTACAGCAAACTTTGTACACATAATCCTGCAATATCGAAAACGAGGCTCGTATGTGAACGCCACCGTCCACAAGAAGCACTCCACCAAACGGTCCCTACGAAGCTCAACTTTTCCGCAAGACCTGTTTTCATATACCACCTGCACTAGTTATAATAACATAATCAGAAATAATGATAATTTTTATTAAAGAAGTAAACTCGATATATATATTATCGGAGATATTAATATTAAATGATATATTTCACTAACAACTTAAGCTTTTGGTTGAGATGGTTATTCGACATGGTATCAGAGCCAGGCCAAATGAAAGGTCTAACATATATATATATATATATATATATATATATATATATATATATATATATATATATTTGTACCTCGACAGATCTTTGAGTTCGTCTTGGTACATCGCTTGAACTATATTGAAATCCAGTTTAGCAAGCTCAAGCAAAAGAGGGTTCATTTCCGATTCTCGTTTTTCGTACGCATCGATAAACCATCTCGTTTCTAGTCTCTGCATTCTCCAGTGAAACGGAAGTTCCAAAGCGTGGTCTATTTCCTCAGCAATATTTTCGTCTATTTCTCGATCATTGAGCCACTGTTTGAGAAGACACTCGGAAAAAATCCGGGCTGCATCCATTATAGTACTCTCCTCTTCCGTTGATAGATACGAAGCCTCGTATAAACTTAGTAATCCATTTACATCGTCAAAAAGGCTTGCCTTGAAATTTCCCTCCTCATCCATGAAATATCTGAAAACCTCTGCATGCAGAAAAATCGAAGAAAAAGTTTTGCTAAAAAATTCGCTCATCGCAAAATTATATTATCGCAACTAAATACTGATACACACACACACACACACACACACACACACACACACACACACACACACACACACACACACACACGCATATATAGTACCGGCAGAAATGTGGTAACCATGCTGCCTGAGGAGCCGAAATCTCAATGCAGTAGCATGCAAGCTGTCTGTAATATTCCAATCACGGCCGTCAACTAAAATGTGTATATTATTCAGAATTTTGTCCACATAATGCGTAAAGTGATAAGATATTCCGAGCCTCTGCAATAAATCGAGGAGCTGAATCTGATCGAACGGATCATTTGTTTTCTCGAGCAAGTCCCTCGCTTCATCTTTAAGTTCTTCAGCTCGTTGCAAGAACCTCGTTTCCTGCAATATATATATCAGACGATCCATTTAATTTTCATCGTAAAAATTAAAGCATGCATGCATTTAAGTTTGAGTTGTGATTGTACTGTGATCTTACCCCATGGATAGTACTGTTTAGTGATTGAATATAATCATGATTCCAAATGCTAGGCTTGTAATTTGCTGATCTCCTTGCAGTACTCTCACTCATCTTTTCTGGAGAGAGAGAGAGAGAGAGAGAGAGAGAGAGAGAGAGAGAGAGAGGTACAAACAATATAATTGTGTATGAGAGTCATGCAAACATTGAGCAGTTTATATAGAAGGAAGAAATAAATTTCACTAAATTGATCATGGCATACAACTAGCTGTGATTTATTATTATTTTTTTCTGATATATTATTCTTTTATAAATGCCACGTTCAGATATAATCATATATAAAACATATAATCAGATATAATAACTCGGTTGACTGATACAATGGCCGGGTACATACTCCGAACTCAGGTTGATGCTGGTGTTATTTATTAATTAGCACATAAGTACTCCCCTATTTTAATTTCATATTTTTTTAGTAATGTTATTTAATTATCACATAAGTACTCCCCTATTTTGTCCCACAAGGATGACCTAGCGGGTTGGAGTAGGCGAGCCTCTGTCAATTGGCCCATGTTCGAATCCCCTTGCCAACTTATACGCAAGGGCGGACATAGGCAGTTTTGGCAACTTATACGCAGGGGGGCTAAAGTTATATTTCCCATGTTAAATTTTTTTTGGACTAAAAGTGTATAAAATTTTAATTTTAGGGGGCTAAAGTACATAATTTAATAGATAAATAACACAATAATAATAAAAAAAAAGTAATTAAAAACTGGTAAAAAAAAATTTCTGCAGGGACGCCCCTGATGACATAGTGTGGGTACGGCCCAGATTATACGAGAGTATTACTGAAAAAAATATTATATTAGAGTGTAGATTTAGCCTGTGCACCTATACACTTGACTGCGCGAGGTTTTTCATTACCGAAAAACAAGAAAGTACCCCCCTACTTTTATCATATTTTTTAATAATGTTATTTAATTTCACATAAGTACTCCCCTGTTTTGTAGTTATTAGTTATGTCCCACATCTATAATATGCGTTGACCAACTAAAAACTAACACACATATACCTAGCGTGGAGGTTTTGAGCAATTAACAAATGCATATTAGTTTTTGCAATTTACATGAAGAAATAATAATGAATTATTAAAGTTTTTAACTTCCTAAGGTTTTTAAATGTAAAATATATTTAAGGTGTTATGTTTAGGAAAAGATCATATATTTTTTGATCTTTTAAATTAAGCTTGTGTTATTAAAAAATATGCATCAAAATCCAATATACAGTAGTAGAATCTCGATAAATTAATAACCTTGTTTATATAATAATTTTTCTCGGTCCAGATTATGTGAACACATATTAAATTATTAGTTAGATAGATTAATATTTCACTAAATTAGTAAAATTTTTTTAGTTCCGACTATATTAAATTTGATAGGGGTCAGTTTGGCAGGCTTGGGCCGAACCCTCAAAACTAAGATTATTGGGCCAAAAGCCCAATGAATGACAAGAACCAAGGCAGACCATATTTCGCCGTTGAAGTTGCTTACACATTATAGAGCTTGCTGACATATAACTCGAATGAGTAAAAGTCCACTGCTACATCTCGGTTTGCGTAAGAAGTGGTAGGTGGCGAGCTGAACGAGAGCCGTTAGAAGTAGAAGACTCGGAGATACTTTTTTTCTAAATAGATAAAGAAAATATGTATTAGTATTAGTTATGGAGCAATCAATGTAAATCTCGACCTAGTTACGGCGAGTTAAACTAGGAAACAATTAAAGAGATCTTCCTATATAAAGTCTTGTAACAAGTCCGATGAAAGACACGATTTAACACCAATGAATACACTTTGATACTCTCTTCCAACCTCCCCTCTCTCTCTCTCTCTCTCTCTCTCTCTCTCTCTCTCTCTCTCTCTTTTAATTTATACTCTTTGTTCGTCGAATCCATCTTCTCCGGTAAAGGAAAGGTGTTAGGTGGGTTTTTCGACGGTAGGGCGAGTCCACCGAAGGGCTAGGGTGGACTAAGGCCCCTCTGACTTCTAAAATTTTCCATATATATATATATATATATATAATATTTTTTTATTCCAATTATATTATCTAATCCACTTATTCAAAGTCACCTCATCTCTCAAAACCCTGTTCACCTCTGCCTTATCCTCATTTTCTATTTCCTAACTTGGTTATCGTTCTTTGAAAAAAAAACTTTGTTGTCTCGCATAATCGTACTAATGGTGGTTAAATTGCCATCCACCGGCGACCGTACGCAGACTGACGATCAATTAGTCTTCTCTCTCATTTTAATTTCCATATGAATATTAATTTGAAGTCTATTGTGTAAAATTCATAATCGACTTGATATTCATGTTTCTTAGATTTTAATAGCAATTTGGCTTTCGCTATTCGCTTCGGTATTATCGTTAGAAAATGGAGGAAAAAAAAATTCATATTATATTTTCATCTTAAATTTCTTTGATAACAAAATTTTTTCAAGGGCTCTGCTCCGAAACTCAGATGTGTTTTAAGCCCCCCTCACAAAAATTGGCCTTACCACTATTCAGCAGTTAAGGAAATTAGACTTGAAAACAGGTCTTGAGGATGTAGATCCTACACTGTCAAAAATTTATAGAGATTTAATTAACTGTATTGTTTTTTTCCGTCAGATCCACCTTTTCTAAGGTCAACCTGGCTACTGGTATTCTATCAAAAACAAAACCAATGGTATGAAACCGGCCAATTTGACAGACATGAGTACAATTATTTTAGTCATAATTCATAACAATTATTTTAGTCATATTTATATCTGAACTCGGCATGTGAAAGAATATAGAAAGAAAAAAATATAAAATACAACATTGGCAGGCGAATATTAGCTAACGTTAATTTGATTCAATAGCCACTAGGGAAGAAATTTTAATTGAATATCCAAAATTCTAGTGATTAGTGTCCATAAACATATTTTATATTTTATTTTTATTTATTTTTATAATCTCCATAAACTTTTAATTTTGAAACAATTTTGTAAAAGAAAAAAAAAAAATCAAATTTCCGGATTTATTAATAGTTACTTATTCAAAATTTAACACTATCTCGTGTATTTTATTATGGGCAAATTACAAGAAACCTCCTAAGGTAAGGCTTAGTTACGAAAATCCCCCTCTGACAATATTTGACCGTTTAAATTCACAAAAAATGTATTTTGTCCGTTGTACCCTTCTGTTAATTGAAAAAAACAACAAATGATAAATTACGAGAACCCCCATAAGGTAATGTCTAATTACAAAAATTCTCCCAAATATGCGATATTATGAAAACTTCTGGAGGTCTGTTGTCGGAGAATTATGCGACAAACTTGTTCCTGAAGGTACTCAATTCACTTCCTCGGGTTGTTATGAATATCCTTCTACCATTGGCGGAGACCCATCTGGCAAGCTTGAATGCCGTCAAACAACCGATCGAAGCAGTCCGGTGCCATAGCTGACTCACAACCCTCTCGAACCACCTTCTCACAGTCCTCTTTTCTGACCCAGTGAGCGTTAAATCCGAATTAATTAATAGCTATTTTTTCAAAATTTAAGACTATCCCATGTACTTTATTATGGGCAAATTACAAGAAACCCCTTAAGGTAAGGCCTGATTACGAAAATTCCCTTATGACATGTGTTTGACTGTATAAACTTATATAAAATGTATTTGGTCCGTTTGATCCTTCTGTTAATTGAAAAACAACAAAGGATAAATTTACGAGAACCCCCCTAAGGTAATGTTTAATTACGAAAATTCCCTCAAATATGCAATATTATGAAAACTTCTGGAGGTTTGTTGCCGGAGAATTATGCGACAAGCTTGTTCGAGTTATTAATTTTTTTTTTATAATAATGAAATATTTGTAAGATAAAATCGATTTTATAAAATAAAAATTATGAAAATATGTAAAACCGATTTCATTGAATAAAACAGTTATAAATGTAAACAAAAAAATTACAAAATTAATACGTTTAATGTTACGAGATATATTTAATTTTTTTATATACTTTTTTATATATATTTAGTTTTAAAATAAAAAAATATTGACTATATTTTTTAAATAATATTACAATTTACTCCAGAAGTAATTAATATGCTAACATATGCCACATGTTAAAGGGCGAAAATGATATTTTCAGAATTATATTCTATGAAATAAAAAAGATTCTGTTAAAAAGTAACACCGTAGGGGTACCATTTAAGACGGCGACATACACTAGGGGGATTTTCGTAATTATTTAAACACGAGCGGCTTTTTTATAGTTAAACCTTACCTCAGGGGGTTTCTCGTAAATTTCCCGTTTATTATAATTCATTCAGAATCACAGCTCTTTGGGACTCGATGTGTCATAAAACGGTAAATTGAGAGTAATTTTATGTGGTTCAGAACATGATGGACCAAAAGTAATATAATCACCGACTTTATGGACCAAAAATATAATATTAAAAATATAAATATTCCCGGCTATCAAAATACACGCATCGCGTTATGACATTGATTGGTTTGCAACTTCTCGAAAATCCACTCACGCTGAACAATGTTTCATTATGTTTTTCGAATTTACATAAAACATTTCTAGGTCTAATTCAATGTTATAACTAAAAGAAAATGTGCTTCAATTTGTTAAAAGTTGAATCAGAAGAATGCTGCAAAGAACGGTTTGCTAAGGTTTTGAATGTGGGGTTTTAACATTCACCCCCTTTTGTGGGATAATTACAGTTTTTGTCCCTATTTTTTACCACAAACAATTTTAGTCATCAAATTTTCGCTGCCACACAATTTGTCCTCAAACTCACCAATTACATTTTTTGTTCGGCCGTCAAATTTCCGTGTTATGTTGGATGTAATTGTCACGTGCGGCGTACGTGACGTCTATCTGATAGTTAAAAGTCAAGCTGGAACAAACCCTCAATCTATTTGGCATGACAGATTACATATGAGGTGGGGTGACACGTCATTCTATCCCCCTATTTATATTATTAATTCCCTAATTCCCCATAATTCCTAATAAACCCTACTCCTGAATTCCCTTTACGAATCATCCAATTGACGTGAAAATCGGCAACAACAGAATCGTCCAACCCTAATTTCCCAAGTTTTTCAACATTTGTGGAGTTGAAACATCACAATCGTGCAATAATCTTCGATTTTAGTAAATTTCTCCATAGTTGCTATCTTTGAACTTCGATTTTGGTAAGTTTCTCCAAAGTTTTCGCATGGATTTATGACTGTAAGGGATTACGAACTTGGTGGCTTACGGTTTCAGAGAGGAATCTGGTGGGAATAATTTGGGATTAGGTTTGCTAGGGTTTACAAAATTGAGAGAGTGAAATTTTTTTTGGAAATTTGGATTAGATAAATTAGGTAAGAGTGTGAGGTGGATTGGGGGTGTCTTCAAGCTCGACTTTGACTACCAAACGGACGTCATGTTCGCAACACGTGACAATTCCATCCAAATTAACAGGGAACCGTGACAGCCGAACCAAAAGTGTTGAAAAGTGGCAAGTTTGAGGGCTAATTTCATGGCAACGAAAGTTTCATGAGCTAGACTTTGAGATTTATGATATGGTCTTTCGAGAGAGTGCAACAATTTCCACAAAGGGAAGTGAGTACCAATACGACACCACTCTTGCATTGGTTACCAATATTGACCTTTCGAGCAACAATTTGTTGGGAGATATCCCAAAGGAGTTGACAAGTCTGGTGGAATTAAGATCACTCAACTTGTCTGGGAATCACTTCACTGGATTAATCCCACAAGCCATAGGAGATATGAAGCAACTGGAATCTCTCGATCTTTCGAGAAACTCTTTATCCGGTGAAATGCCGAATAGCTTCAGAGCAATGTCAACTTTGAATTATTTGAATTTGTCTTATAATCAGTTAACAGGTAGAATACCAGAAAGTACCCAACTCAGGGGATTTGATAATTCGAGCTTTATTGGTAACGATCTTTGTGGGTTTCCATTGACAAGAAATTGCAGCTCTGGTGGACCAAACAAAAGAGAGGATAACGGAAGTGATGATAAATCTTCTTCAAAGATTGAGTGGTTTTACGTATTCTTGTCTTTGGGATATGCCGCGGGATTTTCTATTTTCTGCACAACGTTGGTGTTGAACAAGTCATGGAGAGTAGCGTATTTTGGATTAGTAGAAGACATATGCAACAGAGCTTATGTTTATTGCTATATTAAATGGAGGCTCGGAAAATCATCATGTTGAGGCCAGGGTTCGTGAACGTAGTGTAGATATGTTTACAAAAGCTTGTGTCGAAAATGTCCTAGATTTATTGTAAAATATTTTGCAAGAATGTGTTGTAGAAAAATGTATAGTAGCAGGGAAAATTACAGTTTATGTCCCTAAACTTTACCACTAAAACGATTTATGTCCTCAAACATTTCAATCCACGAAATATGTCCTCAAACTTGCCACTTTTGATCACTTTATGTTCTGCCGTTAACATCGGCAGCTAACTTCGACGGAAAATGCACACGTGGCTCACGTGACGTCTATGTGGCCGTTAAATGTCGAGATGTACAACACCCAATGCCTACTTGGTCGACGAAACGTGATGTGGAGTGCCACGTCATTCTCCTCCCCTATTTCTATTCTAAAATCCCTAATTATCCATATCCCCAATGAACCCGTAAATCCAATCCCTAAAAACCCATTTCGAATCCTTCAATTGAGGTGAAATTCGAAAATAGCAGAATCGTCTGTGAATCCATGGCCATTTTTCGTGGTGTTTTACCAGCAAAATAGCCCAATAAACAAATGCCGAATGTTTCATCGATTTTACTTTCATCTTCGGGCTGAAAAATCATGTATTCTTCCACTTCGTTGGGGAAGTCGGGGAGCTGGAATCCGTTCTTGGGCACTCTATTCTTGGCGAAAAAAGAATTATATGCAGCTTTGACAAGTGCTGCATGTATTTTTTTTTCCGGAATTGGTTCAGACATTTTGTCGAACACCTTCTGGGCAGGTTCTGAAACTGCTGAGTTGGGTTGAATTTGTGCTATCTTCACCATCCTTGTGCTCGCTTCATCGAGACCACAAGGGGCACAAGCATCAGCAGGTGAAAAATCACACGACCCCAACGTTCTAGAGACGAAGTTGGGAGAAGAATTAAAGCTTCCTCTAATTTTTTTTGCACGTGAATCTGTTGTTCTTTAAGAAGGAAAAAACTCTTCAAATGTGAGAGTGTTTTGATTTTTTATGGGTTTATGACTTTGATTTTAGTATGGGTTCGAGCAAGAATGGAGATTGATTTGAAAATTTGTGAATGGGAATGAAACGTGATTTGGAATTTGGGATTTGGGAGAGTGAGTTAGAGGAAATTAGTATATTCTTGTGTCACGTCAACATTTAATATTCAATATATTATTCCACGTCACATTTAACGGCCACATAGACGTCACGTGAGCCACGTGTGCATTTTCCGTCGAAGTTAGCTGCCGACGTTAACAGAAGAACATAAAGTGATCAAAAGTGGCAAGTTTAAGGACATATTTCGTGGATTGAAATGTTTGAGGACATAAATCGTTTTAGTGGTAAAGTTTAGGGACATAAACTGTAATTTTCCCTATAGTAGCATAATAAAATCTCATGTACAGTGAATTATTAAGGTACATCAATTTGAAATATAAATTCGATTATAGCAGAAGCATATACGTTGACGTTTGGATCATTCCTGGTGATAGTGTGTGGCCTTGGTAAATAGTAACTTTGTTTCTTTGGTTAACTGATTTATATAGGGATAATTACACTTTTCGTTCCTATACTTTACCACTTATTCGTTTTTCGTCCTTAAACAAGTTGGAGTGACATTATTCATCCCTAAACATGCTATTTTTATGCTATTTTCGTCCCTCCGTCAATTTGGCTGGTTAGTTTATACGGAAAATAACATGTGCTTCGCACATGATACGTAAGATTCAACCCTTCTCTTCAATTTCAGATTGCATCGTCTTTAGATCATAAGCCTTCTTTTCCAAATGGCTAATTTCTTCAATATCACACCTCTTTGGACGTAAATAGCCTCAATAATCCCCAAAAGACAATTTTTTCCATCATACAAAAATCTGATGCAATGCAATTTATATTTTGAATGATGTTTTTCTTCGAAGAGAAAATGTTAATTAATATATTTAAATTTTTTGAATGAAATTTATAATATGTTAAGCTACTCAACAAGAATTCTTTGTTTTGTTACATATTGAGGATTTGCAAGATTTGCAATTTTGTAAGCTTTAATTTAGATTGCCTAACCTTATTAGTCATTATCTCCATATTGGACGAAAACCCAATTGACGTTAACCACTCATTTAAACAAAAAAATTGTCATGGCCGGTGTAGGGAATATTAATCCTATATTATTTAAACCTGTCTTTGATTGATGTAATCTTCAATCGTGTCTAATAATATTGAGTAGAAAAAAAATATTAGATGTAGTTGCATATGTCTTCTATATCCATTAATTCTAAAGTGTGTGTATGCACACAAATTGCAAAAGGTTATTTCACTGTAAGTTTTGAGTTCAAATATGGAAATTTCATGCAAAGTCAAAATAAATATTATTCATACAACAATTGCATCGTTCACATTCAATTCTGCGAATTTCCTCTTAATTAGGTGGGAATGGGTCTCTTGCATGGTGGTGGCTCGTTTGCAAAGTTGAAATGGAATCTGCATGGTGGCTCGTTACGTTCTCTCTAGCAAAGTTTAAAGATGAGTCTTGTTTAATTTGGTGCCAATGCATGGGTAATTTGAGTTAATATGAGTTGGTTGCACGGAGCATAACAGCAGCATACATGTGAGTGGCCACGTGGATTAATCGTCCATGTCAGCAGCATATATTAAGATTTTCAGGTTCACATCAGATTTCCATCCAAAGTAACAGCAAGAATTAACGGCAGGTCGGAAACTACTAAAAAGTGGCATGTTTAGGGACGAATAATGTCACTCCAACTTGTTTAGGGACGAAAAACGAATAAGTGGTAAAGTATAAGGTCGAAAAATATAATTATCCCGATTTATATACTAACAATTTTCAAGACTAAGAGTTGATCATGGATTTTTGTAAGGAAAATTTACAGATTTCATCATTCAAGTTTGCAACAATTTCACATTTAGTTTCTCGTGTTTCAATAATTTGACATATTTGGTTATTTCTGTTAATTCATGTTAGTCCGTCAGTTACGGTAGTGATGAGCACACATTTGATTCCGTTAGTTTTAACGGAAATTTCAAGGAAAAGGACTAAAAATGTCGATTTTTTGAAACATGAGGGACCAAATATGTTTTTTGTGAACATGGGGATCAAATTTAAAATTTGTGCAAACTTGAGGGATAATAATTGTATTTTTTTCCCATTTTTGTAATAAAAAATACAAAATAACTCTTACAAAAAAAAAAAAAACCCACTTGTGCTTTCATTTTCCCTTTTTTTTTTTGGAAATGAGCCCTTGAAGTTTGACACACTCGATTAAGTTTGACGGAAAAACTAACGAAAACTACGCCATAAACCACAAGGGGTTATGTGCAGATATTACAAGCACAAGAACAAATCTGCAAAAGCTTGTAACCACATAGGATTAAGTGCTATTTAAAAAAAAAATTTGTGGAATACAAAAACCAAATGTCACTAATACTGTCTCTGTCCCACTCAAGTCCTAAGTTGAAATTTTGTTTCTTTTTAGTGGAGAAATTTTGATAGCAAATTTGACGAAAATGAAGATAAAGTAATAATAATGGATGTGTAAAATTAATGACCCTGAATAATGGCTGGACAGCAATTCCTTGGAAAGAAAACGACATTTCTTCGTCAACTCATCAAAAGTCGTCGGAGTCGGGAAAAAACCCACGGCATCAAGTTGCTGTAGACATGTGAACTCTGCTCATACTATACTAGGAAACAAACATACGTACGGTACATCTAGACACTAATAATGTATGTGAAGCTACTTTTGTGTTAACAAAAAAAAGAAGGGTCGAGATCTTTAGCAAAGTCAAAATATCTGTACTCTCCGAATGGCTTGTAGCTAATTCCAATATATTACATTATATTATAGGATAAAATACACTTCACTCCTACAAATTTTTCATTTTCCCACTTTCCGCCCTAAAAATTCAAAAATCGGATAATTTCCTTTTAAAATATTATTTTTGTTGCACTTTGTCCCAGAAGTCAATTTTTTGTGGGTATTGGGCAACAAAAATAACATTTTAAAGGGACAATATGCAAAAAAGATAATGTTTTTAAGGGATAACACGCAACAAAAATAACATATAAAATGGTAATGTGCAATAAAAATACTCAAATGCCGATAAATAATTCATCGAAATTTTGCTATCGGGACAATGTGCAACAGGAATAACATTTTGAAGGGGAACATTCACTTTTTAAAATATTGAGGGGGGTAAAGTGCAAAAATTAGAAAATTTAGGGGGGTGATGTGCAATTTGCCCTATATTATATTATATTATATTATATATGCCTCTGCTAATCCTTCCTATTATACCATACAAGCACTTAACTAGAAATGAGGCCAAACCTTGAAGCTCTATTTTTTCTCCTTAGTTTGTCCACCATTACCATTTCATTCAAAGTAAGCTATGGCATTAATATCTGTCCGGAAATCGAAAAAGAAGCACTTTTAAACTTCAAAAAATATTTGAAAGATCCCTCCAATCTACTGTCTTCCTGGAATTCTGCTCATGTGAATTGTTGCAACTGGAATGGCGTCGTCTGCAGCAACAAAACCGGCCGTGTTCATCAACTCCGTCTTCAAAATTACGACGGTTTTCAAGAATTAGGCGGCAAATTAAACCCTTCTTTGCTCAACTTGAAGCATTTGAAATATCTTGACCTGAGCCAAAATGACTTTGAAGAAACAATACCTTCCTTCATTGGCTCACTCACACGCCTCGAGTATTTGGATTTATCCAATGCTGGATTTTACGGGACGATTCCCCACAGTATCGGAAATCTTTCGAATTTACGCACTTTAAATTTGGAAGGCAACAGCTATCGAAGCGGACTGGATGGCGACAGCATTGAATGGCTTTCGGGACTTTCGCAACTGGAGCAGCTCAACATGAATTACGTCAACCTCAGCAAACAAGACAACTGGTTACAGGTGATCAACACACTTCCTTCTTTGGTCGAACTACGTTTCGGTTATTGCAGTCTTAGTTTCGTAGCTCCCCTGAAAAACATCAATAATAATCTTAGTGCTTCTCTAGCCATCCTTGATCTCTCTTATAATAAGTTCCGATCTTTCGCCATACCGAGTTGGATTTTCCGACTCGCAAGCCTCACTTTTCTTGATCTAAGTGGCAACTCTTTCGAAGGTCCGATTCCGAATATTTCCAACACCACCAAAATCCAACACATTGATATCTCCGATAATAAATTGAACTCTGCCATTCCCGATTGGCTCTACACGTGTAAGGATCTTGAGTTTGTATATTTCAGTTCCAGTTCTTTACACGGCACAATTTCCGAGGGAATAGCAAATTTAACATCTCTCAAGACCCTGTCTCTGTCTTGGAATGAGCTTTCGGGCGAAATACCAAGCGAAATTGCTAGCTTATGCAAATTGCAAAATTTGGACTTGTCCGTAAATAAGTTGGTCGGAAACATATCGGATTCGTTTGGAAATATGTCGGATTGCTTCTTAGGAGCTTTAGAGTCACTAGATCTCTCCGAGAATCAACTCTCCGGTCATCCAACTCATCAAATTGGAGAATTTAAGAGTCTTAAAACGATTCGTCTTTCCGGAAACTCGTTGTATGGTCCAATTCCAGTCAACCTAGGAAATCTCTTGTCTTTGGAAACATTAAACATGGCTAGTAACAAGTTGACTGGAAATCTTCCGGAGAGTTTGGGGCAACTTTTTAACTTGAAATTTCTTCATGTTGAAGACAACAAGTTGGAAGGTGTTGTGAGTGAAATCCACTTTGCCAATCTCACAAACTTAATGGATTTATATGCCTCTGGTAATAACTTCACTCTCAAAGTAAGCCCAAATTGGATTCCACCCTTCAGTCTAACTAGTCTTGGACTCGGATCGTGGAACTTGGGCTTTGGCTCTACGATTCCTCAATGGCTCGATTCGCAGAAGAATGTTTGGGAGCTCGATTTATCTAGTACTGGAATCTCCGGTGAAGTGCCTAGCTGGATGTGGGAGATTCAGTATTTGAACCTCTCACACAACCATCTCCATGGCAAGATTCCAGATATAATTAATAGCGATTTAATGTGCTTGAGTTCCAACAAATTCAGCGGTCCGTTGCCTCGAGTAGGAAGTGATGTCAGCGATCTCGATCTCTCTAACAACTCGTTTTCGGGGGATATATCTCAGTTCCTCTGTGGCATTGCAAATGAAACGACTTATAGTTTGGATGTTCTTAAGCTAGAGGGGAATCGGTTGACTGGAGAAATACCAGATTGTTGGAATAAATGGTCGGCGATTAGAGTGTTGAATTTAGGCGATAACGACATGTTTGGGAGCATTCCGAATTCGATAGGATTTCTTACGAATATGTTGTCTTTGAATCTACAAAACAACAAGTTTTCTGGTCATATACCTTTTTCGTTGCGTAACTGCACGAAATTGGTCAACGTTGACCTTGCTGGTAACGAACTTGATGGAAAAATGCCGGCATGGATCGGAACAAGGCTACTAAATTTGAGGTTTCTCGTTTTGCGTGCGAACAAGTTGAGTGGTGAAATTTCTCCGGATATATGCAACCTAAACTCTCTCCAAATACTGGATCTTTCGAACAACGGAATTTCTGGGATAATACCACGGTGTGTCGATAATTTTACTGCAATGGCCACAAAAAGAAGTTTCAGTAATCAATACGGCGGAGTGGTGTATACTTATTACGGCACAGGGGTTTTTGCAGAGAGTGTATCAGTCGCCACTAAAGGAAGTGAATCGCACTACGATACCATTCTTCCATTGGTCACGAACATTGACTTTTCGAATAATAATTTGTCTGGAGATATTCCAAAGCAGTTGACAAGTCTAGTTGAATTGAGATCACTCAACTTGTCAGGGAATCATCTGACAGGGTTGATTCCTAGTAACATTGGAGGCATGAAGCAACTTGAATCTCTCGATCTGTCGAGCAACTCTTTGTCCGGTGAAATGCCGAATAGCTTCAGAGTAATGTCTTCTTTGAATTATCTGAACGTGTCGTACAATAAATTAATTGGGAAAATACCAGAAAGCACACAACTCAGGGGATTTGATAGTTCGAGCTTTATCGGTAACGATCTTTGTGGGCCTCCATTGACAAGCAATTGCATCAGCTCTGGTGGACCAAAGAACGAACATGATAATGGGAGTGATGATCATGAACCTTCTTCTTCAGAGATAGAATGGTTTTATGTGTTTGTGTCTTCGGGATATGCTGTCGGACTTTCAATTTTCTGCACTACGCTGATTTTGAAGAAGTCGTGGAGGGAAGCATATTTCGAGTTTATGGAAGAGATGTGGAACAGAGTTTATGTGTATTTCTACATTAAGTGGAGGAAGCTCACAAGAACCTCGGTTTGAGGTTTCTGTTAATACGAAGGTTTATGATTTTATCCATGTTGCTTTATTTCAACTTCAACAAAATGTACTCTGAGAAATCATGCATTTTCAATAAAAGAAACTTACATAGTTTTATTATTGGTAAGTTTACAGTTTTCATCCATTAAGTTTGTAACGATTACACATTTAGTCCCCCATGTTCACATAAAACACATTTGGTCCCTCGTGTTTCAATAATTTGACACTTTTGGTCATTTCCGTCAATTTTCCGTTAGTCCGTCATTTACGGTAGTGATGGACACACGTTTGATTCCGTTAGTCTTAATGGAAAATTGACGGAAATGACTAAAAGTGTTAATTTTTTTAAAGATGAGGGACCAAATGTGTTTTTTTATGAAATGGGGGACCAAATATGAAATCGGTGCAAATTTGAGGGATGAAAACTGTATTTTTCCCTTGTATTATTCATTAATACGTAAACAGGATGAATCATTACATTCAATCATCAATTATTTCCCCTACAAAAGAATCTAACAAGCCATATTAAACTCAGAGATGGTATAGAGCTTTGATGCCATCAATATCATCTTTCCCCAAACCCTTTCTAAATCCGGATCCAATAGTAGGATACATTATAGCGCCACCGTCGTTCGTATGCCCGAGTCCAAGCTTATGACCAAGCTCATGCAAACCTATTGTCTGCAAATCATATTTACCGGGCACAACACCATCCGCCCACAACTCATCTCCATCGAAGTGAAGCAAACTATCGTACGGTCCAGAAGAATGCGCCAAAGCTCCCCCACGCCCATCGAACGGTGTTCCATCTCCATGCTCCCACACTTGAAAGCTAATCTTGATATCTGCATGGTCGTAATCCGCGATGTACGTGAACTTGAAATTCGACACGCTAGCCCACATTTGTGTGGCGTCTTTAATGGCTTGCAAAGCATCCGCACGCGTGCCTGGAGGAAATGAGTACGTGAGATTTGTCTTTGGCCATTTGGGCTCGCCCGGGAAGAAAGTATAGTGGGAAGCTAAGGTTGGGATTTTGTTCTTGAATTGGCTTGCGTTTAGGTTGACGAAATCCGCAACCCCACATCGAGGGAGGAGTAGGTTTTTTACCGTTTTAGCATCCAGAATTCCGGTCACATCGAGATGGAAGAAAACTTGGTATTTTTTTATAGCCAACTCTAGGTCATCGTCGAAGAGATCGGTTTTTTCTTTGGCTTCGTTGTTGTTGTGCTTCATGTAGCCGATGTTAGAGAGGTGTTTCTTGAGTTCGAGGACGGATTTTGCCTTGTGCCCTTTTCGAGCTCCGATTAGATCATTGATGGAAGATAGGGGTGATGAACTATGAGCATTTGGTTTATGTGATTTTGCATGGGAAATGATGAATGGGTTGAGAAGAACTAAAAGGAAAATACATGAGATATGCAAGTTGATAATATTTGATGGTGCCATTGAGTATAATGGTGAATGAAATCGGTTGGTAGTTTTTTTTTAATATGTTACATCTATTTATATAGTGTGATGGTGATGTAATTTTTTTAATTCTTAACCTTTGTTATAAATGATTTTACCTAAAGATTGATTTTGGTACAAGGCAAGATTTTAATCATGGTCTTGAGATTTTTGGAGATTGGATATTAGTTTAATAAAATTGCCTTTTCTCTATTAACTTCTAATTTCTAATAAGAGTGATCAAGCATAAATAGTTTTCATCAATTGCTCGAAAATTATTAACTGACTAGAAATCAATAGAGCACAATAAAACATGGTAAATAGCATTTTACGAAAAATACAGTTTACATCCCCGAAGTTTACACTGATTTTACATTTGATCCCCTATGTTAAAAAAAAAGCACATTTGGTCCATCATGTTTCAGAACTTCAATAACTTTAGCGTTTTCGTCAATTTTTCGTTAGTACTAACGGAATGAAACATTTGCATGTCATTGCCTTGACTGACAAAATAACGGTAAATTGAGAGAAATGACAAAAACTGTTAAATTATTGAAACATAAGGGACCAAATCCAAATATGTTTTTTCATGAACATGAGGGACTAAGTGTGAAATCAATGCAAACTTGAGGGATGAAAACTATAAGGGATAATTGTTTAATTTAAGGATTAGACCATCATCAGATATAGACACGGCCACGGGCCGGTTCGGGCCGGTTCCGGGCCGGTTCGGACCGGTTCACGGTTCACATTTTCCGGAACTGGAACCGGCCCGTGGCGTGCACGGTTCACCGGGCCGGGTCGGCCCGCCGGTTCGGGCCGGTTCACGGGCCTATCCGGGACGGTTCCGGGTCGGCCCGGAAATTTTGAATTTTTTTTTGTTTTGTTTTTTTTTTTTTTTGAAATATTTAATGAATAAGTAAATTAAAAGAAATACTTTAAATAGATAAAGGAAAAGGAAATAAATGAAAAGTCAATTTAGAAGCACAAGTTTGAAATATTTGATGAATAAGTAAATTATAGGAAAAATTGGGGTGTGAGGGTATTTATAGGAAAAATTGGGGGGGTTTGGGGGCAAAAAAAATTCAAAAAAAAGCAAAATTGGGGTGTGAGGGTATTTATAGGAAAAAATGGGGGGGGGGGGAATTCAAAAAAATTCAAAAAAAAATAAATAACGGCCGGTTCACCCGGGCCGGTTCACTAGCCGTTATTTGCTTTTTTTTTGAATTTTTTTGAATATTTTTTTTTTTTTTTAATCCGGTTCACCAAATCTAAGAACCGGGCCCGTCCCGGGTAGGACGGGCCGGTTCACACGGTCAACGGGCCGGTTTGGGCCGTCAACGAGCCGGTTCGGGCCGGTTCCGGGCCCAAAACCGGCCCGTGGCCATGTCTAATCAGATATCCATGGAAAAAAAAATCAAATAAACATATTGAATAAAAATAAATAAGATGTAAAAAGAAAAAGAATATTTTCCTTGTCCTACTATAGATATTCAAGAAATTTACAGTTTTCATCCCTCAAGTTTGAAATGATTTATATTTGGTACTCTATGTTCAGAAAAAAACATATTTAGTCCCTCATGTTTCAATAATTTGACATTTTTTGTCATTTCCGTCAATTTATCGTTAGTCCGTCAGTTACGGTAGTGATGGAAAACCATTTCATTTCGTTAGTTTTAACAGAAATTTGACGGAAATGACTAAAAGTGTTGAATTTTTGAAATATGAGGGAGCAAATGTGTTTTTGTCAACATGGGGGACCAAATGTGAAATTGGAGAGACATTGAGGAGTGAAAACTGTAATTTTCCCATAAATGTTCCTTTCTAATTACAAAAAAAGAAAAGAAAAAGTAATAGTAATAGTATAGAATATTGTTCTTGTCTTAGTCGAGTCAAAGTAAATATTTATTTCTTAATAATGTGGAAAAAGGAGTTTGGACTGAAAACTAATTAAATTAATGATCTCATGGAATGTAGCTGGACAGCAATTCTTTGGGAGATAATGATGTTCTTCGTCAAGTCATTACACTACGTCGTTGTAATAAAATATATGTGAAAATTAAAGATTATTATTATGTAGCTAAACAGCAATTCCTTTGGGAGATAATGACTTTGATTTTTCTTCTTTCAACATAAAAAGCACCTAAGTTCAGAAAATATGGATATTTTTTTTACATTTAATATCTTTCAATTGACTAACTGTGGACAAATTATGCTTTTCGTCCCACAACTTTATTTCAATTTTATATTTGGTTCCTCTGGTTTAAAAAAATAAAAATAAAAATTTAATTCATAATGTTTTAACAATTTAATAATTTTGGTCATTTATCCTCGAATTTTCGTTAGTACTGACGTAATTGCATTCGGCCGTCGCTCTCTTAACTAACGGACTAACGTTAAATTGACGGAACCGATAAAAAATGTTAAATTGTTGAAATATGAGGGATTAAATGTATTCTTTTATGAACGTAAGTGATCAAATAAGAAATTGGTATAAACTTGAGGGGTGAAAATTTTAATGTTCCATTAACAAGCTCTCATGTTATCAATATTAGCAAACTTCTCCGGTGATTTTTTTTTTTAGCTACAAAAACTCCCAATTTATCACAGGAGAACTTTTTCTGATATTTATAATATATGGAGTATTTTAGAAATTCGATACAATACAGACATAGAAAATACAATAAACTGCAAAAAAATTGTATATTACACATTTTTATATATAAAAAACACTAGAGCAATTCAAGAAATCTTAATGGTATATTTATGATTATTTTAAAATTAATTATTATTATTTTTTCATCTCTATTTTCCGACATTTCTTCTCTAATGACTTTCATAGCAAATCAGATTTGCAAATTCACTAGATAAATCATCATCCGTTCGGATAGTGTTTTTTGAGGGTAAATGACAAAGAAGACTATGACAAGAGCACTTAATTTAAAAACGGACATCCAACTTTTTTATTTTTCAAATAAATCCACATCATTTAAACTTATTTGCAAATAGGAAAACTCTTTTATATATACCAAATTACCCCCAACTCCTTCAAATCCTAATTCAAGTTCAATTTCATGATTTACACCTCAATTTAGCTCAATTTCACTAATGAACCAATTTTGACCGCCACCGCCGGTCAGCAGCTGTTGCAGCTGTTGATTTTTTTTTTTGAATTTTTTTTTTGCGACAGGTCAACTGCCAGTGACCGCGGGTCTCCGCAATTGACTTTTTTTTCGTAAACCTTTATTTTTCCGGTAGGTCAGCCGCCGCTGACCGCCGGTCTTCGGCGTTGACCCTTTTTTTAAAAAAAAATTTGTTTTTCTTAAAGGAAATTATTTTCATTAATATTACTGTCTTGGCCTCCATTATTATTGTTTGATAATTGAAACAATAATATTGCAGGCCAAGACAATAATATTACTGTCGGAGACAGTAATTTAACTGTATGAGAAAATAATATTACCGTCTCCGACAGTAAATTTATTGTATTAATTAATTTTATCGTCTTGGCCTGCAATTTTGTTGTCTTTGACTGTAAAATTACTGTTTCCCACCGTAAAATTACTGTTTGGGCATTCAATATTACTGTCTCATACTGTAATTTATTGTTAACACGGTTATTTAGAGGGAAAAAGAATCACGTCGAAGACCGGTTGACTGATCGGAAAAAAAAATCATAAAAAAAATTATTTTCTAAAAAAAATTCAAAAAATTATAAAAATAGGGGTTAATATGATATATTTGTTCAAATTCGGGGTCAATGTGTAATATTGATGAAGGTAGAGTATAACGGGTGGAATTGATGGAAATTATATTATGAGGGGTATTTAAGACAAAAGATAGGGGATGAGTTTATTTGCGAGACTGTTTTTTGTTTGGATCTTTGTGCATATAAGTCATTTATCATGGGTCAGTTTGCCATTTATTTTAACTCTTTATCTCTCTCTTATAAACACCGATGCTGATTTACTATTTAATTATCATATATTAAATTTTATTTCTTTTTTTCAATACTATCCCATGTATTATTTTTTAGTAAATTCAAATCTATTACAAGAGGAAGTTGGGAAGGGAAGACTCGAACCTTAGACATTTTACCTATTAATAAAGGTTATGTAACAACTCCCCTAATAATTGGTTACTGCCCGTGCATCACACGGTGAGGATTGCTAGTTACACCAAAGTCACGAACACAATCAACAAACAAAAACATTTATAAATTCGCGCACTAACATAAAGTGACAATATTTTTACGAAATCCTGGGTTACTTTTATAAAAATAAAGGACCGAGACTTAGAAAATTTTGAAAATATTGTTCTCATACATTATTATAAATATCCCTCCCATTGCTTCTTCCTATCAAACCATACTAGTAATTTCTCATTAACCCAACCAACCCACCCCCTTTACTAGAAATGAGGCCAAACATCACAGCTTTATTTTTCTTCCTTATTCTGTCCATCATTTCATTCAATGCAAGCTATTGTACTATTGAAAACAATGGCACTAATCATCTTTGTCCAGAAATCGAAAAACAAACACTCCTAAACTTCAAGCTATCTTTGGAAGATCCCTACAATATGCTCTTATCTTCATGGAATATTTCTGCCGATGTTAATTGTTGCAACTGGGAAGGTGTTGTTTGCGATAACATCACCGGCCATGTTGATCAACTCCATCTTGGATCCTCAATTTTACGCGGCAAAATAGATCCTTCTTTGCTTAATCTCAAGCATCTCACTTATCTTGACCTGAGCCGTAGTAACTTTGAACAACCAATCCCTTCTTTCATAGGATCACTCACAAGCTTAGAGTATTTGGATTTATCTAATGCGGGATTTTACGGGACGATTCCCAACACTATAGGAAATCTTTCAAATTTACGCACTTTAATTTTGGAAGGCGATGGGTACGAAAGCCAACTGGAATGGTTGTCGGGCCTTTCACAATTGAAGTATCTCAACATGAATTATGTGAACCTCAGCAGAGCAGGCAACTGGCAACAGGTAATCAACACACTTCCTTCTTTGGTAGAACTGCATTTTGTTCGATGCAGGCTTAGTTACATTGCTCCAATGAATAATATCAATAACAATATTAGTACTTCTCTAGCCATTCTTGATCTCTCTCAAAACAACGAGTTTCGATCCTTTGCCATTTCCCCCGGATGGATCTTTCAACTCAGTAATCTTACTTTTCTTGATCTAAGTAGCAACTATTTTGAAGGTCCAATTCCAAATATTTCCAACACCACCAAACTCCAAAACGTTGATCTATCTTTCAATCGTTTCAACTCCAATATTCCTCATTGGCTCTACTTGTGTAAGGACCTTGAGTTTGTTACTCTCAGATCCAACTCTCTACACGGCGCAATTTCCAACGGCATAGCAAATCTAACCTCTCTCAATACTATGTCTCTGTCTTGGAACGAGCTTTCTGGCGAAATACCAAGAGAAATTGCTAACTTATGCAAATTGCAAAGTTTGGACTTATCTGTAAATAAGTTGAATGGAAAGATATCAGATTCATTTGGAAATATGTCAGATTGCTTCTTAGGAGCTTTGGAGTCCCTAGATCTCTCCGAGAATCAATTATCCGGTCATCTAACCGATCAAGTTTTAGAATGTAAGAGTCTTGAAACCCTGAATCTTGCCTTTAACAATTTGTCTGGTACAATTCCAATCAATATAGTAAAGCTGTCGTCCTTGAAAACTTTAAATCTGGCTGGTAACAACCTGTCTGGAAATCTCCCGGAGAGCGTGGGAAAACTTTTTAACTTGACACATCTTCATATTGAAGATAACAAGCTGGAAGGTGTTGTCAGTGAAATCCACTTTGCTAATCTCACAAACTTATTGAGTTTATATGCATCTGGTAATCACTTCACTCTTAATGTAAGCTCAAATTGGACTCCACCCTTCAATCTGTATAATCTTGGACTTGGATTGTGGAACTTGGGCTCAGGCGGTCGGTTTCCTCTGTGGCTTCAGTCAGAAAAGGATATTAGGGAACTAGATTTATCTAGTAACGGAATCTCCGGTGAAGTGCCTAACTGGATTTGGGATTTCCCGTTTTTGAACCTTTCCCACAACCATCTCCATGGCAAGATTCCAGATATAATTAATAACCAATTATTGTGCTTGAGTTCCAACAAATTCAGCGGTCCATTGCCTCGAATAGGAAGTCGTATGACTGATCTCGATCTCTCCAACAACTCGTTTTCGGGAGATATTTCTCACTTCATCATTGCAAATGGAACTTATAATCTGCAGATTCTTCATCTAGAGGGAAATCAGTTGACTGGAGAAATACCAGATTGCTTGATGCAATGGTCGTCGATGATAGTGTTGAATTTAGCCAATAACAACATGTTTGGAAGGATCCCAGATTCCATAGGATTTCTTACAAATATGTTCTCTATGAATCTACAAAACAACAAGTTTTCTGGTCGTATACCTTTTTCATTGCGTAACTGCACGGAACTAGTGAACGTCGACCTTGCTGGAAACAAACTTGTTGGAAAAATACCGGCATGGATTGGAACAAGGCTACTCCATTTGAGGTTTCTCGTTTTGCGTTCAAACAAGTTGAGTGGTGAGATTCCCCCAGATATATGCCACTTAAATTCTCTCCAAATATTGGATCTTTCGGACAACGGATTTTCTGGGATAATACCTAGGTGTGTCGACAATTTTACTGCAATGGTCTCAACAAGAAGTTTGGGAGGTCAATATGCGGGACTAGTCTATTCTTCTTACGGCACAGGGTCCTTTGGAGAGAGTGTATCAGTCACCACAAAAGAAAGGGAGTCCCAATACGACACCATTCTTGGATTGGTCACCAACATTGACCTCTCGAGTAACAATTTGTCCGGCGATATTCCAATCGAGCTGACAAATCTTGTTGAACTGAGATCACTCAATTTGTCAAGGAATCACTTCACTGGGTCGATCCCACAAAGCATTGGAGACATGAAGCAACTCGAATCTCTCGATCTGTCGAGAAACTCTCTGTCCGGTGAAATGCCAAATAGCTTCAGAGTCATGTCAACTTTGAATTATCTCAATGTGTCTCACAATAACTTAACAGGAAGAATACCAGAAAGCACCCAAATCCAGGGATTCAATGCTTCGAACTTTATTGGGAATGATGGTCTTTGTGGGCCTCCATTGACAAGCAATTGCAGCAGCTCTGGTGGACCAAAGAAGAAAGATGATAATCATTATAAAACTACGTCTTCATCAAAGATAGAGTGGTTATATGTGTTTGTGTCTTTAGGATATGCTGTCGGACTTTCAATTTTCTGCACAACGCTGATTTTCAAGAAGTCGTGGAGGGAAGCCTATTTTGAGTTGATGGAAGAGATGTGGAACAGAGTTTATGTGTATTTCTACATTAAGTGGAGAAAGCTCACAAGAACCTCAGTTTGAGGTGTCTGGCACTATGGATTAGGATATTACCTCTGTTGCTTTATTTCAATTTTAATAATATGTACTCTGAGAAGTTGCATTTTAGAAGCTTAATGAAAGTTTTGTTTTATATATTGTGATATATATATATATTATTTTTTTCTGAAAAGTACATCAATAAAGAATATCTATGAAATTATGAATCTTTAACATAAAACAGGATCAGCCGTATATATTCATGCATCTATTACTTCCCCACTAAAAAAATAAACAAAATATACTCCTGAACTTGGAGATGAATGACTATATACGGCTGATCCTGTTTTATGTTAAAGATTCGAGTTTATTGCAATTACTACCCCTGTGAAAATTGCAATTGTGCATTTCCCCCCTCTCATAAAAAAATTAGCAAATACCCCCCTGTACTTATGTTTAGATAGCATACTCGACCTATTTCTCTTTTTCCCTTTGACCGGTTGTGAAAGGACAGAAATACCCTTGGGATGTTTCTGAGAAAAACGTTGGGAACCAAATTGAATTACTAAAAAAATATAGAAACTTAATCAAATAATAAGTTAGGGGACTGAATTGTAATTTTCTGGAAAATACATTATATAAGTAAAATTGTGGGGCTGAAATCACTATTTTGGAAAAAATATCGTCTTCCCCAAAATCCAAATTTCTTCTTCGCCATTGAAATCACCACCACCAAATTCCCACCACCACCACCACCACCGGCAATCACCTCGTTATGCCGCCGCCTCCAAAATGAGAGAAGAACATGTCTTCCCCAAATTTCGCCATCACCACCTCCGGCCATCACCTCTTCCCGCCGCCACCTCCGCCGGACCCATCCCTTTCCTTCTACAACATGTCTCCTCCGCTCTTCTCGTCCCAGACACCTGTCCGCCGCCAACTTCACCTCGTTGCCGCCTCCTATTCCACCTCCCACTTTCACCAGAATTTCATTATCTCCGCGTCGCCTACGGCGGCGAGGAGTTGTAGTGCTGTACTATTTCGTCGAACAATCGTGAGGTTGGGAAAATGCGGGTTAATCGACACGAGGTATCTTCCGGTGCTGCAGTAATTGAGCGTCGGGGTGCGCATTTGTCGGAAGTGAGTTTGCAGGTGATGGAGTTGAGAAAAATTGACGAAGAGGAGAGGGGTAACCCGATTCTGCTATGAGGGTGCTATGAGAGAGTGGTGTATTTTGCAGGGAGTGGTGGTGGTTGGGTGTCCCCCGCTGTGGACGGTGGTTGAGAACGGGGATGGTAAAGTTTGAGAAAATTAAATATTTTATTTCGATTTTTAAGGGGAAACTACAGATAAATCCCTAATCCAAAACTTGAAACACAGATCAGTCCCTACGTAGTTTGCCCTAGCATTTCAGTCCCTACTCACACGCCTAACATGCAGATCAGTCCCTAATGTGAATTTTATATATTTTATTATATTTTCTTCTCACTCTCACCCTTTTCTCTCTCCTGCTTTTCTCTCTCTTCATCTTCTCTTTCCTTCTTCTCTCTCTTCATTTCTATCTGCTTTCTTTCTTCTCTATTTCTTCTCCATTTCTCTCCTCTGGTTTCCCCTTTTTTCCGGCGAAAAAATCACTGTAAAACCCACCCACCCCACAATGGCTACAAATGATGTATCTAACGATGTACCCAGTGTGATTCTTGGAAGTTGTCGATACAAAAATCAACTTCACATTATTTCCATAAAAAGTAATTCGACATTAATGGAGATATATGGTGCTATTATCAACAAATGGAATCATATCCATCCAGATGCACTGATCCTCCAATACTTGGCTCCTCGGGAAAGATTGTATGTGACATTGGGCACTGATGAAGATGTGGAGAATATGGTTGCATTGCATCTGATAATGAAGATGAGTGTGGTGGACATTGTCGTGACCTGCAAAGATGAAGCTAATTCGCGTGGAAAGAGGGTTCGCACCGATGGCTGGTAGGTCTCCATCTTTTTCTGTACTGCTGAAATGCATTTCTTTATGGTTGTTAATTATTGTGTGATACATAGTATAAAATATGGCACATAATAGTATCATGCTAATATAAATATGGTATGGACGTATGATACTTACAGTACGTAACCTTGATCTGAGTAGTATGGGTGATAGGTAAATTTGGTACTGCTGGTGGGAAAACATAGTATCATATAATGAGGAAGATAGTACGTTACCTTCATCTGAATAGTATGGGTGATAGGTAAATTTGGTACTGTTAATGGGAAAACATAGTATCATATAATGGGGAAGATAGTACGTAACCTTCATCTGAATAGTATGGGTGATAGGTAAACTTGGTACTATTTGTGGGAAAACTTAGTATTATATAATGGATAAGATAGTATGGAACCAGTGCATTGTTATGATATTTTCATGTACATTGTTATTTGGATTCCACTCTATTGTAATCCATTTTTAAAATTTTTTTGAAACCAAAAGCGGCGATCAATCGATGGAAATCGAGGGTAATCCGCTTGGAAATTCAATTGATGCATGGAGACATTGCATCCGTGGGGAGAATCAGTTTTTTAAAGATCCTGATGATTTTAGGCATATGCTGAAAAACTATTCTATTGCTAATAATCGATCATTTAAGTACATGAAAAATGATCAACAAAAGATCATAGCAGTATGCATTCACGAAAACTGCAAATGGAGGGTTTATACATCATTGTACAAGTCAGATAAGTTATTTAGCATTCGCAAGTGCAATCTTGAGCACACTTGTGGTGATGCTACTCTTCGTACAAGGGGTCATCCTAAAGCCGATGCTACATGGATTGCCCAAATTATGAAACGAAAATTGAGAACGCAGCCAGCTTACACACCATGTGGTATGTTAGAAGATATCCGAGACGATTATGGTCTGGAGCTTCAGTACTACACAGCATGGAGGGGTAAAGAAAAAGCAATGCGTGATATCCATGGTGATGAGACGACATGTTATGATAAACTGAGACGCTATTGTCGTGCATTAAAAATGCATAACCCTGGTAGCATGGCAGAGTATGAGATTGAACCTGCTACTCAAAAGTTTATTCGAATATTTATTAGTTTTGGGAGTTCTATTTCCGGCTTTTATCGGTGTAGGCCGATGATATGTTTGGATGGGACTCACATTAAAAATAAGTACAAAGGATGCTTGCTTTCTGCTGTGTGCAAGGATCCAAATGATTCCTTATATACATTGGCATACGCAGTTGTTGATGCTGAGAATGATAAAAACTGGGAGTGGTTTTGCATTAAACTGAAACAAATTCTAGATCTTCACAATGACAATAGATCTTTTACCATTTTCTCTGATCGTCATTCGGGGCTTCTTAAAGCCGTCCCGTTGGTATTTCCTAGTAGCCACCATGCATATTGTTTGCGACACTTGGTGGATAACTTTAGAACTCAGGTATTTTGTCACCTCATGTCATACTTTTGTATAACATGTTTCATACTTTTGTATAACATGTTTCATACATTTGTGTAACATGTGTCATACTTTTGTATAACACATTTCATACATTTGTATAGCATGTTTCATACATTTGTATAGCATGTTTCATACATTTGTATAACATGTTTCAAAATAATATAGGTCCTGAGGAAGTACCCATTGCACAACAAGTCATACTGGGCGAGTGTTTTACATAATGCTGCATATGCTCCTACTCGGCAGGAGTTCGATGCAACTATTTCTCGTATAGTGCAATCTATGCCTCTCGCGGCATCATTTATTTCGAATTCTGATCCAAATCATTGGGCGAATGCCTATTTTTCTGGAGAAAGATGGGGAATCGTGAACAATAATCAGGCAGAAAATTGGAATGGTTGGGTTAAAGATGCCCGATCTTTGCCTGTTCCATCCATGATTGATCACATACGGATCAAAGTAATGGAGATGCTAGTTAAACGACAAGGAAAAAGTTTGGCAATGACTGGCATATTGTGCAAGAAAATTCTAAAGAGATTAACAATCAATCATATGGCCTCTCGTTCCTTAAAATATTGTAGATCAAGTAGTACCGCTTTTGAGGTATATGATGAGGACAAGTCGTATAAGGTTGACTTGCAGCAGAAGACTTGTTCTTGTAAAGCATGGCAATTAGAGAAACTTCCATGCAAACATGCATGTGCATGTTTGGAGTCAAAAGGATACTCAGTATATGAGTTTGTGGATCCATGCTTTCATATTGATACGTACAAACAGGTATATCAATTCACGATTAACCCAATTCCCTCGTTTGATGAGGACTTTGACTTGTACGATGCGTGTAATGCTCCGCCCGATGTCTTTGTTAATGCACCTGATTCGAGAACTCGACCGGGACGTAGAAAGACAAAAAGAATTCCTTCACAAGTGCAAACTCGTAAACTGAATTGTACTCGGTGTGGGAAGCCTGGACACAATCGTCGTACTTGCACACAACCAATCTGACTACCAATTTTTTTTAATGTAAATACTGTCTGCATTTGTGTTAATTAAACTAACTAGTCTTGTTTCTAATGTAAATTTTATGTTTTTCATCAGGGAGGACAAGATGGAGGAGAGCTTACATGATTGCCCATTATGTTATTCAAGTGATTGAAGTGAATGAAAACTGGCTGTTTGTACTTTATTATTATGTGATTTGCACTATGTTGTTTTGAACTTTGTACTATGTTTCAATTTGCACTATGTTTTTGCTATTTGTAGTTTGTACTATGTATTAGGTACTCTGTTCATTGATGGTTTATCATTTTCAGTCTAATGGTACTATTTTTATTTACACATGGTATTGGATATGAGATAGGATGGTATGCCTATTGTTGGTTGATGGTTTATCATTTTCAGTCTAATAGTACTATTTTTATTTACACATGGTATTAGATATGCGATATGATGGTATGCTTGTTGCTGCTTGATGGTTTATCATTTTCAGTATAAAGGTACTGATTTGATTTACGCATGGTATTATCTATGAGATAGGATGGTATGACTTACTCAATTTATGACCGTTACAATATAGCCGTTGCTTATAATATAGCCGTTGCTTATTGTCAGAACTAGTCAAGTCATAATATGACCATAAATGACACATAGGCTCATTTGTTTCTAATTCATGGCTTCTTTTAGTAGCACCACTCGGGAAATGAGTGGGTTAAAATACAAAAAAGGGAAATGCAAGCGTCTTGATTGTGGGAAGAAAACAATAATCATGGTTTCAGAAACTATTTCGAATCCCGGAAGGTTATTTTACTGTTGCCCACACCATGGCTACTCCCATTGGTGTGAACCATTTGAAGTTGGGCAAACTTTTTCCAACTCAAATCGTGAAGAAAATGAAGCTACAAGTGCGTCGATGAACCAAGTCCATCAAGAAAGTGAAGTGAAGAATTGCAATTCTGAAGGTGGAGTAGTTCATAGTTTGATAGTGTTGAATCTAGTAATATTTGCAGTCTACATGCTATGTAAAACCTATGTACTGTTGTTTAATTAGTGAACATAAGAGTACAATGTATAAGCTGGTAAAGTTTGGGTTCTTCATCAAAAAATATAGTACGCTTTGTTCACCAATTAAGTACAATGTATAAGCTGGTAAAGTACAAGTGAGTCGTGACTACAGTACGATATGTTCACTGATAAAGTATATGTTTGCCATTCATATAGTATTTTTACACTCTATATATTATTGTCGGGCCAATGCATCCATATGATCGCATTTTAAGACACAACTCTTCAGTTTTAGACTATTAAGAATGAATGGAGACAATGTGGGAGTGGATCAACATCGACTATGGTAAGAATTGAGGAAAGTATTAGGTTTACACTTGAGCATTGTAGACTTGTATGAATATATTGTATAGTATATGAGTATCATGTATGAAATTCAACATATTTATGGGATCTTGTAATCCAAACGCAACAATAATGCTCACCTACCTTAAAATAATAATCTAAAACATAATTTATGCATCTCCCGTACTTATTGATCATTAAAACGTCAATTAAATTAGTGCAATTCAATTCATCAAAAAATATAGTACGCTTTGTTCACCAATTAAGTACAATGTATAAGCTGGTAAAGTACAAGTGAGTCGTGACTACAGTACGATATGTTCACTGATAAAGTATATGTTTGCCATTCATATAGTATTTTTACACTCTATATATTATTGTCGGGCCAATGCATCCATATGATCGCATTTTAAGACACAACTCTTCAGTTTTAGACTATTAAGAATGAATGGAGACAATGTGGGAGTGGATCAACATCGACTATGGTAAGAATTGAGGAAAGTATTAGGTTTACACTTGAGCATTGTAGACTTGTATGAATATATTGTATAGTATATGAGTATCATGTATGAAATTCAACATATTTATGGGATCTTGTAATCCAAACGCAACAATAATGCTCACCTACCTTAAAATAATAATCTAAAACATAATTTATGCATCTCCCGTACTTATTGATCATTAAAACGTCAATGAAATTAGTGCAATTCAATTCATCAAAAAATATAGTACGCTTTGTTCACCAAATAAGTACAATGTATAAGCTGGTAAAGTACAAGTGAGTCATCACTATAGTACCATGTGTTCACTGATAAAGTATATGTTTGCCATTCATATAGTATTTTTACACTCTATATATTATTGTCGGGCCAATGCATCCATATGATCGCATTTTAAGACACAACTCTTCAGTTTTAGACTATTAAGAATGAATGGAGACAATGTGGGAGTGGATCAACATCGACTATGGTAAGAATGAGGAAAGTATTAGGTTTCACTTGAGCATTGTAGACTTGTATGAATATATTGTATAGTATATGAGTATCATGTATGAAATTCAACATATTTATGGGATCTTGTAATCCAAACGCAACAATAATGCTCACCTACCTTAAAATAATAATCTAAAACATAATTTATGCATCTCCCGTACTTATTGATCATTAAAACGTCAATGAAATTAGTGCAATTCAATTCATCAAAAAATATAGTACGCTTTGTTCACCAAATAAGTACAATGTATAAGCTGGTAAAGTACAAGTGAGTCATCACTATAGTACCATGTGTTCACTGATAAAGTATATGTTTGCCATTCATATAGTATTTTTACACTCTATATATTATTGTCGGGCCAATGCATCCATATGATCGCATTTTAAGACACAACTCTTCAGTTTTAGACTATTAAGAATGAATGGAGACAATGTATGACTATATTGTATAGTATATGTGTATCATGTATGAAATTCAACATATTTATGGGATCTTGTATTCCAAACGCAACAATAATGCTCACCTACCTTAAAATAATCATCTAAAACAATAATGGAGACAATGTGGGAGTCGATCAACATCGATTATGGTAAGTTTTTCGTGAATACACATGTGAAGTACGCTTTGTTCATCAAATAAGTACAAGTCTATTGTTGACAAGGTATCTTCGAATGGACTAGAAAGTATTTGTTGCTCAGTTTTATGGTACGCTTATATTCTTTATACAAACTAATTAATCGCAAAATAAAGTACCATGTGTTCAAAAGGCAAGTACATTTCATCGAAACATATAGTACAATGTATACAATGAAAAAGTACGAGTAGAGCTAATCAATAGTATTATTAGCTCTACAACAAAAGGACAGATTGTTTATGGCATAAAAACACATTCACCTGTTCATTAATTAATTACAAAAAAACACAAGAACCCCAAAACACTTCCACTCCATGTTTTTTCACAATAACGCCATATCTATTTCATATTTAGCTTCCACTTCTACTCCCCGATGCCTCAGAAAGATAGCTGCTAGTTTTGGGCGAAGTATTTTGATATCGCAAGTTTTTGCCTTAAACCAAATTTCTTCACTGTTTACAGCATGACAATATGCCCACATGCAGACAAACAAGCCGCAATCAAGGTTCCCATCCTGCTGCCTGCATCCATGAACCCATTTAGCTTCCGATTGTATCTCCAACCCAGACCTTCTTTCAACCACCTTGCTGTAAAACGAGGCCTACGAAAATAAAATATTATATTAGTCTACAACAATTCGCAAGAATAAAGAATAACTAATTACAAGAATATGGGCTTACGACATAATCCGCAATTCCTGGGAAATTCGGAGAATAGTCTATGGAGTTCCAATGGTAAATACATTTATCTATTGGGTTCAGAACAAGCAGGAACCAGTGTTCACTGGAATTGATAGGTATCATGACAAATGTTTTACTGAAGATATTTGCTGTGTTTAGCTTGTCAAAAGCCATCGTTCCAAAAATAGTAAAATCATTGAGAAGACGATCAAACATGGCATCGCTCATTCGTTCTACGTCCACCCGAGGTCGCGACATTAACTCTTGCTACGAAACATAATAGAGAATATTAGATAAACATTGTAATGTATGCAAAATTATTTGTTAAACCACTATATACCTGGGCAGGGGAGTCAAGGTAATCAATCTCATGTCCATGCTGGTTCATGATAGCTTCGGAACATAATAGATTCAAGTACAAATCTATGTGTTCTGCACTCAGCATTTCATCAAATAAAAGTTCGCACATATGCCTTCCCGTCAGCTGATGTGGGCCTCTCTCCACAATAATTTCACTACAGTAAGACATAACCACGTACTATTGGATAAGTAAACTTGTACTATGTACAAAGTTAATACATACTATAACATGTGGTCAACATATACTATTGGATAAGTAAACTTGTACTATGTACAAAGTTAATACATACTATAACATGCAGTCAACATGTACCATTGGATAAGTAAACTTATACTATGTACAAAGTTACTACATACTATAACATGCAGTCAACATGTACTATGTATTCACTTGACATATACCATATATGAAGGTGGTTGTGCTCTTACCCTAAATCAACACTTTCCAAGAACTGATCCAACAATATCCTATCTTCTTCGGATATTTGGTCACGACGTACGTAGTCCTTTCTTCCCCGGTAATAATCGGCATTCTATATAACGAATAAATCACACCAATTATGACAAAAAATAATAATAATGTAAAACTAATATTAGATAAAAATACCTTGATCCCAGGGACTGAAACAGGGACTGAAACCGGAACCTTGGACACAGGAACTTGTTTACGACCACGTCCTCGTCCTCGTCCTCGCACGCGTGGAACTTTGGCCTTTGACTTTGGCCTTTGACTTTGACTTTGACTTTCGTCTCCTTGATTTCTCTCTCTTTCTTCACTTTGTTCTCCTTCACCTTCCATCCCCTTTCCTCCTTCATTTTCTCCTTCCTTTTCCCTTTCCTCTATCTCTGCCTCTATCTCTATCTCATTCTCTCTCTCATTCACTCTCTCTGTCTCTTTCTCTGTCTCTTTCTCTTTCTCCTTCTCTTTCTCCTGCTCTTTCTCTATCTCTATCTCCTTCTCTTTCTCTATCTCCTTTTCTTTCTTTCTCTTACTCTGCATTTTTTTTTCTTTATTTTTTTCTTCTGTTACATTCCCCCTCTTCCTTTTTAAGTTATTCTTCATCTGCTGCAACTAAAAAAAACAATAGTACGAAACATGTTATACCATAGTATTATATTAGTTGACATATAGTATGTTCCAATGGGAATGGAAGTATGAATTTTAGGGTTTATTGTTTTAATGACTTACAGATGTTGCTTCCACGTCTCCAATCTCATCTTCACTACTCTCAGAACTTATTTCCACAAATCTGTCAGCACTAATTCCAACAACTGGACCAGAAATTACTTCCAAAACCGGAGAAAGCAACGCTTTCTCTTTCGGGTACACAGAAAATGGTATAACCTAATAAACGTAAAACATTTGTTAGCAAATACCTAATACATTATATATTTTGTAACTCAAAGTGTTACCTGCACTTGTTTTATCTGATCAAAAAGCAACCTAGCTGCTTCTTCATCGATTGGGATTTTGCTGTCTTGCCACCGGAAGAACCGGGGAAATTTGTAAACACTGGTGCTAACCCCTAGTGACGTGATCCTTTCATGCACCCATGCCTGCGTATTTTGGAATCAATATTAATTGGTATATTCAATATAACATAATATATATTCACTATTAGATATCACTTACCAATAAGCCGATAGTGCATCCATCAAAATACTTCAACCCCCCCTTCAGATACCCCTCCATATTCTCAACAAGAATATCATACACCAACTTTCCCCATGCAAAAGACCCTAAAACCTCCAAATCTTCTACATGCGGATAAACCCACCTTTCTAACGTTTTGTTCCCCTTTGGCAGTAGAATAGTATTAAACAGATAAATAGTGTACAATCTGCTGAAATCTTCAACAGATTGTTGATCGGTCATAACTGCATAGGCCTCCAGTTTATAACCAATATATGGCCTCGTCACTAAAGATAACTTACCATCAAAAATACGTGTGATGAAACCAGTGTCTCTGCCATCCATATTCACATCCACCGGTACGCCTTCGTACTGCAGCCCTAATACGATAGATAATTGCTGCGGAGTGAATTCCAAGCGTATAGTATTTCCCCCAAACCAGAAGGCCCGATCTTCTGGATTGTACGCTTGCATGAGAGACACAACCCTATGGAAGCTGTGGTTTATTTTAGGCATGTCCATGTAGTGATAGAAGGGATTTTTCTTCAGTACTTCATGATGTTGTTTCTTCATCACTTTTTTCACACCTTCCATAGTTAGGTGAAAAGCGATCGGTGAGCACCTGCAGCCTATTGATAGCTTGCTGCAATCTTCTTTTACAACAATTCCTGCAATTACATACACATAAAACAAATACAATTATAACAAATACAACGTACTATAAAGTTCCACATGTCAATACCATCCGAAATCACTAGTAATACCATTCAAAGGCACTGGTAATACTATTATGGCATATGACTTATACTACAGGACCATCAAACATTATACTTCTAGTACCACAAGTCAATACCATCCGAAGTCACAAGTAATACCATTCAAAGGCACTAGTAATACTATTATGGCATATGACTTATACTACAGGACCATCAACATTATACTTCTAGTACCACATGTCAATACCATCCGAAGTCACTAGTAATACCATTCAAAGTCACTGGTAATACTATTGTGGCATATGACACATGCTACAGAACCATCAAAGATTATACCATCTAAATGCACTATTAATACCATTACTGTGCATGACACATACTATAGAACCAGTACGAAAAATACAATAAGCCTCTTTCCCATATCCTATATGAAACCCTTGTTAGGACTCAAAATGCTTTGGGGACATGCTAATGTCACCGAAGAATAATACCCATGAGAAAACTGTTACAAAATCATGAAATTCGACAACAAATAAATGATCTTTGCAAACCCAAACAACAGAACAACAAATATTGGAACCGATTTAATGATTTTAATGATTAGGGCAAACACCGAATAAAGTCGAGGCATAATACCCATGAGTGGATATGTTCAAAATCATGCAATTCTATAACAAATAAACCTTTTTGCCCTGCTTAAGCAACACCCAAATGGGTCTGTTTCCAAGAAAATGAAAAAAAAAAAAAAAATCAAACCTTGTTGTTTACCCTGCTTCACCATTGTTTATAAATGGGTTTGTTTATACTATTTTTCTGCGGTTTGTTGATTCTTCGTGTTTCGTAATTTCTTCCTTCTTTGTTGTTTCTCTGTTGCGTTTCTTCTTCGTTTCTTCTTCGTTTCTTCTTGGTCTGAAAATGGGTATCACTGAACGGTGGTTTTTTCTGCGCCTTTTTAGCTTCTTTTTTGTTGTTTGATTTTTGAAATGTAACGGGCAAAGAGCGTGTAATACAAACGGCGCGTGGGAAGTTGAAAAGAAGTTATGTAAAATTAGTATAAAGTAAAGGGTATTTTCGTATTTGCACATTTTATTAGGGACTGATCTGCATGTTAGGCGCGTGAGTAGGGACTGAAATGCTAGGGGAAACTACCTAGGGACTGATCTGTGTTTCAAGTTTTGGTTTAGGGATTTATCTGTAGTTTCCCCTTTTTTTTTTGTTTATGCTTAATACTTAAAAAAAAAGAAAAAAAGAAAGAAAAGAAGTTGGGGGCAGTTTTGTCATTTCACACAACAAAAAGAAGAAAAATCGCAGAAACAGCAAGTGACGCACACGATTTGCAATAAGGGGGTTTTTTGCCCTTGACTAATAAATATAGGGGGGTATTTACTAATTTTTTTATGACATAGGGGAAACTCGTAGTTACGATTTTCACAGGGGTAATAATTGCAATAAGCTCTTAAAGATTCATAGTTCAGCTTCAGCAGCGTTTTATCGTCATCAGGAGACATTTATAAAGAGGGTTTATTCAATGCTATACTCGGTGATGATTATTATATTAACCGTTAATCTATACAAATAACACACACATTTGTATGTGGGCTTACTGGAAAATTATTTCACCTATCAATGGTTAAAAATCACCAGATATATCATTAGGTGTAGCATATCAATAACCTATAAAGATATATACAAGACATATGTATATTAAATTCGTTGAAGCCCATAAAAATAGCATTCTAGAATTAACATTCTAATTTCCAATAATTCATTACTCTATTTAAACTTTACATCATCCATCATATCCGTAATCAATTCTACATACGTGAATTAATAACTTCACTTTCCGGGTACAAAGTTAGTGGCATTGTTGTTCACCGGGTCAGAAAGGTGATCGGCAAGGTTCTCCAACGGTCCCTTCCCTTCCCTGTAACAATAGCCTAAACAAAAAACCCAAACATTGAGAACATTGCAAGTCTCCCATTCTTCAGCTCCTTAACCTTCAACTCAGCAAACGCCTTCGGGTCCTCAGCCAGACCCAACGGGTCAAAGCTACCACCCGGGTATTGTTGTAGTTGTATTATTGTATATATTGTCTAAGGGAGGCGAGTTAAGGTTTATATATATATATACACACGATGGAATTGGGCTTATGTATGAAACTCGTGAAGATCGTTATCTTGAATCCTATTGATGGGTGACCTATTCTGTTTGAATATTTTGGAAGGCATATTAATATGTGTTCTGACCAATGAGGTTTTGCCAAGTGTTCGGTTGGAGAATATGTAGCATGCATGTGTGATAATAGAGATGCTTGAATTAATGAGGTCGGATATCTAGAGATCCTCATGTGAAATCATTGCCACATGTTCGTTGAGAAATGTTTTTTTTCTCAACGAACATCAACTGTGTACTGGACTTTTTTTCATGTGCCAATAATTGAGTATGCATTAATTCAACGAACATTAGGAATAGTAATTCGTATTTGATAAAATTATCCCCTTTCTGACTTAATATATCTGTTTTACTTCATTAGTCTAATGACCGGGTAAAGTTGGAAACAAAAATTGTCCTACCTTAAAATTTTAAAATGACACTTAATATCATAAAAGAAATTTCATGGCTAAAATGACAATCAAAGTTGATGGAATTCTCGAGATTATGTGGAATATTCTCCAAGTTGTACTTGTTTTATCCCGTTCGAACTCCATATTTTCAAACAAAATGATCATAAGTTGTGTCTCTTAGCTTGTAAATAGAAACTACATTTTTTCCACAAAACGAGTACAAACTAGAGAACATTCAAGAAATCTAGAAGATTATTTTGAATTTGACACTATGATGGTGGACATGTAAGAAGAATCATAGTTGACGGATAGTTGTAATTACCAAAATATGAGTGGGGTTTCCGTAATTTGACCTTACCTCAAGGAATGACCATAATTTACCCTAAAAAATAGTAAAGGGAAAATTATAGTTTACACCCCACAAGTTTGCACCAATTTCACATTTGGTCCTTACAATAATTCAACATTTTTTGTCGTTTCCATCAATTTATCGTTAATTCGTCAGTTAATGTAGTGATGAGCACAAACTTGATTCCGTTAGTACTAATGAAAATTTTGTTGATTTATATGCCTATAGAAATCAATTAACCTAAGTTGTAACAGTCAAGTTGTGGAAACAGTATTCAGTTACAACTATAATTCTTGTGTTAACACAGTTATAAACTACTTAAAGCAAATAAATGAACACAAGAAATTAATGTGGTTCAGACACAAATGTGCCCTACATCCACGTGGACCTGCAAACACGATTTCACTAGTTCAGATTTACAGTGTACATTAATAGGACTTATTAAAAACACTAAAGACTCCCTCTTTATGTAATATGCCGTTCTTGTACACAACTCGAACTTCATGTTTCTTCCAACAGCAGCTCCACCCGCGTGCCTTGAACTTTCTTCAAGCCTGAACTCCCTTCAGAAAACGCGGCTGATCTCCCTTGAGATCTATACAGCAAATCTGTATATGTTGGCACAGTGCAACGACGGCACAGTCCTGCTCCGCAGAACGCCTTGGCAAAACTTCGATGCTATGAAGAGGTTTTTCTCCCAAATAATGCACACGGTTCTTGTATGTCTTGGAGGCTTATATAGCCACGAAAATAAGCCCTAAGACCTAACTTGAACCCCAAGAAATCTATTTAACTAGGTAATAGAATCCTAGTTGATTTCTACTTCTATTCTAGATAAGTACAAAAGATACCTAACTAGAATGAAATACATGGAAATAAATCTAAGTCCTAATAGAAGTTTATAAGAATAGGACTCTAATAAATTCCAAAATAAATATGGAAAACAAATCTTTGCCAATCTTTTAATTCCAAAACTTGGCGGATTTCCTCGATCTTCAATAGTCGGAAATATGGCGCCAACAATCTCCCCCTTTGGCATAGATTGGTCAGAATCCATATTTAACAAGAACTCCCCCTACATATGAGATTTTCTCTCTTTGCAGAAATGATTAACTCCCCCTGCATCACATACTGTTAGTACAATAGAAGTTGCAACACATAGATGTTGTAACAGAGAAATTTCCTGCAACACAAAGTTATCCAAAACAAGCCCAAGGCACAAAATAAAGATAACCAAGGTGATATCCAAAAGGTAGGAAATTAATCATAACAATAACAGTCCTAAAAGGACAACAAAAAGGGTTTTTCAAGGAAACTTCCCTTAATAATCATAGTCGGAGAGCTGATCATTATCATGAGAATTGCTGGACGCTTTGCCTTGCGGTTGTGGACTGCTGCTTCATCATTGAAGTTTTTGCTGGGGCATCCGGAGTTGCATCTGGAGTTGTTGCTACTCCCCCTTTCTGACCAGACTGTGCCAAAGTCTTAAGAAGCTGGTCCTGAATAGACGAAAATCCCTGAGCAAGCTGAGCCTGAATAGACTCCTAAAACGAGTGAGCTCATCTTTGGTGACCACATCAACTGGCGGCGGAATAGAGGCAGAGACAATGGGATCCTTTTTCGCGCGAGAGGCCATCTGAACAACAGAGGGATCGATAGGAGACAGATCAGCGAAATGTTCAGAAAGGACCTTACCATGGATAGTGATTGGACGGCCAGGAGGATCCAACAGAGTGGCATCACGAGTGGGCAGGCCTTGTTTGATCAGAAGCTGATAGATCATAGAAGGAAACGGCAGATGCTCACGCTCGGTTCGGGAATTGGCTAACACACCAATCTGATTGAAAATCAAATCACCAATATTGATTTTATGGTCATGAGTGATGCACCATAAAAATTCAGCTTGGGTGGGATTGAGAGTGGCATTGTGGTTAGTGGGAAACCAGTTCGAAATGCCTATCTTGAACAGGACCGAATACAGCTGATCCAACTTAGAGACATGAAAAGCAGATTTCGGACCAGACCATTTTTTTCAACACTTTGGCAGTGAGAACAGAGGCCAGAGTATCTTTAGAAACAGAAGTTTGGAAGTAACCCTGTTTGGACACTTATAAAAGTCATTGATCAAAGCAGGAGTTACAGATGTAATCCTCACGTGAAGTTTTGTAAAACTCTCATTGATACAATCAATTTCAGGAGCAACCAGATGTAATGGGCCCAGAAGCATTAAGTAAACTCTTCTTCGCCTTGAGAGCAATCTGGGCCACAGACAAAGCATCTTCTTGAGGATCATCAAAATACTCAACCAACACCTTAGGATGAATATTGATTGGTCGTTCAGGCATAGAAGCTGAAGTTCTCACTAAGAAATGTTGTGACAGTGAGTGATAGGTCAACGAGGGAAAAGACAGACACTCCAACTTTTTGTGCGAGAGTTAGCAAGAGCTCCATTTTGAGCATAGATGTACTCCCCAATATTGATAAAAACAGCATGAGTGACGCTTCAGGGAAACTCAGCATACAGTGATCACAACGGCTGTGGTGTACTTGACACAAAGGGCTAAACATTGATTTGATTCTTACACCGGTAAAAATCTTTATTCAATTCAGGAGCCACATTGAAAAATTTTCCTTCGCAAGTAACCGCGAGTCCCATCAACGGAGAATCAACAGAGAGTTAGGACTCTGGTGAAGATTCTGATGACTCAGATCTAGTTGGATGTACGGCAGTAAAGGCAACATAAGTCTGCTCTGAAAGAGATTGGTGGCCACTCGAAGCGTATGACTCATCCTCAAGACCATAATTGCTCTCAAGCTTCCTTTGAAGCCGGCGAAGCTGCACATGGGCGCTGAAAGTAGCTTCTTCAA